TTTCTGTCCATTTCAGAAACAAGAATTTAGTGGTTCAGGGCTGAAAGTTAAAAATCAAATTCTACAAATGGCATTTACCAGATCTGCCTTCATTGCTTCTGGGCTGTTGTTTTGAAGCCAAGAAGTCTGATACCATTTGGAATATTTAGAGCAAGGAAAGATGAAAGAAAGGGAAAGAGACCACGTTTTAACTTTTCTCTTTGTATTTTTAGGCACCTTAAACCTTGAGACTGTTAAATTTAATTAGGAGATATCTAACTTTAGTTTTTCTCCCAGAATTTTTAGTTTTTCTAATTATATTAAATAGATACTTTCTCTCTAATGACTACAAATTCAGGAGATCTTTTGCCATTGTGCTTTAGTTTATTTTTCCCCAATCTCCTTCTGGAACCACAGGACCACAACCCATTTGTTATTCACAGTTCCTTAAGTTTTCTCAGGATTTTCCTTTTGGTCCAATTGTATGGTGTTCTGGGAAACCCATCATTTTTCTTTGGTGTTGTGCTGGTTATAATCTTGTCAGAACAAGAACACTTTAGCGAGTGAAGGTAGGGGAAATAATAGTAATGGCCAGGTCTTTATTGCTACATGCCAAGCAATGCCCATGGCCTTCCTGGGGCTTAGTACATGACTGCCCCATTGATCCAGTTCTCCTTTTGAACTTTAAAAAAATCATGTCGCTGAATAACTTAAGACTGGAGGAGCCGGTTGACTTCTTTTTCACTGAAGCCTGTCCCCAAGTCATAGAATCACACCCTCTGGGATCCCTGGGCCATCTGTGGTCAGCCTTGCTGCAGCAGGCCGATGGCATCTACAATGCCCATTCACAGATTCCCTTTTCTAGCTTCATCTGAGGCCTCTTGTCCATGTTCTGTGCACATTGAGATTCCTGGTTGGAACTGTGCAGCCAGGAGAGAGTCTGGGTTGGGAAGCCCAGTCAGGCCCCTGCAGATCCTGACACCAAGTCCTTGTGCGGAGACGGCTGTCCCTAGGTGCTTGTGGCTACTGCCAGCGCAGCTTCCCCCCAGCTCTGGCCCACAGTCCTCTCCAATATCTCAAGGCCATCTCCTCTGGTCTGGGGCCTGGTGGGACAGCCAGGACAGCAGGACTGGGTGCCTTGCGCCAGTGCCCCCACGGCCCAGAGACTGGTCTGCTGGGAGCTCCAGGGCTCATCATCCTGAGGACTCCAGACACTCCCTTTAACAATCATGCTTTCTGCCAACTGAGTAACACAGCTCGTCTTTAGCTTTCATTTCCACGTGATCCAATTATATTCAGTTTTCACAACTTTTCAATGTTCTGGTCTGGTACCTCTTCCTGGTAACCCACGGGTACTATTTATTTTTATATTTCTTCTATCAAGAAATGGTTGTGCTTGGAAAGTTGTTTTGGATACAGATATGCTTCAGGAAGCAGGATCTGGTGATTTCCAGACAGAAGCAAAGTGAACTGTCTCATAGGAGCTCGCTAGGGCAAGGTGATCTATAAAATGCAGGCGTTTGTGACTCAGAGCCAGGGAGGGAAGGGACTGAAGGGAGTGGGAAGATTCTGGAGGCATTATTGACAGGGCTGAGGATCGTTATTTTCAATAGAAATTTCAAGTAAATCACTGCAGGACATGGCCTCTGTCTTTCAGAAAGGCACATCGTCACCAAGTGTCAACATGCCCAGTGACAGGTTAGGTACCCAGTAAAATGGCAGGGAAGTTTCTTTTCATGGAGACATCTACTCGTGTGTCACTGGGCAGTATTGCTCCTGTCAGTGGGTTACTTGGAGCGTGGCTGCTCTTACTGAACACATTGATATCTTCCAAAATCTTTGACATCTTCACGAAACTTACATTAATGATACAGCCTGTTCTTGGTATAGGCAGCCTTGTAGGGAACTGCTGCAAATGTCTGAGAGATGGAACAGGTGTCCCTACTCACAAACACACCAGCAATGCTCTGAGGAGCCACATGCTTGGTTTTAAACATTACCTTGGACAAGTTCAAAATTACAAAGGGCAGCTGAGGTTGATGTCTTGGAAGCTCAGTGTAAGTGATGTCTTGAGGATTAGGTGGCTGTAGAATAAAACCATTCATTTTCAGGTTTGCTTCTGGGAACTGATTTATCCTGCTGGTTTGATGGTATGGTTTTATCAAAGGGGTGCAGGCTATTTATTGTTTTTCTAGTTCTGGAGCTACTCACTTGCAGTTAAGTATGAATTATTAGCAAGTCCTACACTGGGGCAGGATGTAAAAGGGTGCACTAGAAAAACTTTTGGTTGGCACTGAGGGGCAAGACTAGTATTAATCTTTCTGTTAGGCAGATTTCCTCTGCTGTGGAAACCAACTGATTAGGAGGAATGGTTTTGGCTCATGGTTTCAGAGTGTTCAGTTCCTGATTACTTAGTGACATGGATTTTGGGGTTTGTGGTGAGGCAGAAACAGCAGGGTAAGAGAGCATGGGAGAGCACAGCTGCTCATTTCATGGCCTGGAAGTGGAGGAGAATGAGAAAGGAGCTGGAGGAAAAGTCTCAACATCCCCCCCGGGTGCACCCCAATAACCTAACTTCCTTTGCCAGGCTCTACCTGCAAAGGTCCCACCACTTCCCAAAGCACCATGACCAATCCTTCAATATGTAGGCCTTTCAGGGACAGGCCAGGTCCAACCCATGATGTCCTTGGACCATGGTGAAGGAATCTGGCAATTCTTTCTGCATGATCTGAAAGCTGTGTGACAATCAGAGGTGCCTGCCAGGTGGCAGCCCAAATATGGGTTTCCTGCAGGAGAATCTCTGGAGTGGCTACTTCCATTCCTTCGAGCAACAGTGACTATGTGTGTCTTTTCACAATGTGCTCTCAGTTTTATCTCAACTGACCACAATGCTTCAGTTTAGTTCCTCTTTAAAAAATAATCTGCCACAGGCCAGGGATTTAGCTCAGTGGTTCCACCACCTGCCTTGCAAGTGCAAGGACCTGAGTTCAATCCCAGGTACAAAAAAAAAAAAAAA